ATTTGAACATGAAATACGCAGTACTTGAATTTGTCGATGAGGAGTATAGAAGGTTGGTGAAACGCGCTGGATTATGTGAGAAGAATCAGAAGATTCGGATAATTTTGTGAATGGTACATGACTATAGACTAGGATCGTGAGAAAGAAATTGTGTCAAGGCCATCAGAAAATTTCTGAAAGGTTCCATTGACCCATCTACAATTTCAACAATAACATGTGAAGCTAAAGTATTGGAATTAAGTGGTGAGTGTGTTTGTAGTTATATGCTATAGCCTATATGTTTGTGCAGGCAATTAACAAATATTCTCTATACCCTTTATATTGTATATAGAATACTTAATTTTTAATATATCATTCTAAGAGTGAATATAATGTCTCATGTGTTTAATTTTGCATTTACTATTAAATTTGCAGATTTGCTTATGTCCAAACATCATACTATAAACCAAAGGTCAAAATGGTATAATTATATTTGTAGGTGCCCTTATGTCCCAGTGTCTCAATAACAAAGACTCAACAGAAGGTTTTAAAAGGAAAAGGCAATTAATTTTAAAGGATTTTGTGTACTCAATATTATGGGTATATTGTGGAGCCGGGAGGTTCTGTCCACACACTCCATGACAGGAAAGATCTCCAATGCATTAAAGGAGAAGGATGCCAAGCCACAACTTGACAAGGAAAAAGTCAATGGCATATGTGGTAAGCTGATAACTTATTTCAGTTAGCTAAATATATATTGTATACTATTTCATCACTCACAGCATGGTAAGACAAGTCTTGCATTTTTAAATAATTTTTCAATCATATTCCTTAATGTAGAGTATACTTCAAAAAGATATGGTTGTCCTGCATCTGAAGTACGTGTGACAAGTAATGCTAAGAAAATGCTAAAAAGAAGTCCTGCGAAAAATAATGAACTGAGCTACTGGTCAGACAAACACTTTAAAAATATCCAAAATATAGAATAATAGACAATAATTAATATTACCAAAATACATTACAAACAAAAGTATTCAATGTTGCACAACTTTTGATGTACTGGTACATATATGCCAATATTTCTAATATATATCTTTTTATTCTTGAAGTGATTTTCATCATTGATGTTTTCTCATGGCTAGACATAATATATTGGTAATATTGCACAGAAGAGTGAATAGCACATCTTAATTGTGTAATATTGCATGTTCTGTAGAATATGCTACTGTATGCAGCATATCCTATAGCATTCTATAGCATCTTCTATAGCATCTTCTATAGAATCTTCTATAGGATCTTCTATAGAATCTTCTATAGCATCGTCTATAGCATCTTCAATAGCATCTTCTATAAAATATTCTATTGAATGTTCCATAGAATATTCTGTAGAATATTCTATAGAATTAGTGCCAAAATCTTTTAGAATATTCTATAGGATATTCTATAGAATATTTCAATAGAATATTCTATAGAATATTTTCGTAAGGGAAATGTACAAGGGATTCTCTAAGGCACCTGGGGATCGAATCACAACTCATTAATTGCATATATATATATATATATATATATATATATATATATATATATATATATACTGGAAATTAAATGCAAGATGAACAGAATTTTTATGAACCTACTTTTTGGGATTTGGGATGAAACATATGTACAGTACTCATGGCAGAAATTTGTCAGTGAAAAATTATTCTTATACTTAATTGCTCCAGGTATATCCAGGTATGGAATCAATTAAGATTAATGTATCCAGGATCTGGCTGGAGATAAGTACATTCTAAGTAAATTTTTCAAAGGGTAAAATTTGTATAGTTCAACTGGTTGTACATATTTAGAAAGAGCCTTTTAATAAACACCACAAGAGAATACAATAATATTACAAGGGTTTATAATAATTACATGAATATTAAATTGGCTGCCATATAATCAAATAATTCAGGTTATATATAAAGTACTATAGTACTACAATACTGGGCAAATTCTGCCAGTTATAACAACCAAAGAAAACCTTTGCTTCAGGACATGCAACCTAGCTAAAAATTCGTGGTTGCGGTGGTTCAGATATAAACTCAGTGCTTGTCATAAAATGAGTTTATTGTCTGAAGAAATCATATTTTAATTTTACAGTGTTTGAATTCGCTCTAAGTAAAGCATAAAAAGCATTTGACAAGATACGAAACAACAAATTTTTATCTATAATAAAGTTTATAAACTAGAAATACATGTATGCAGCAACCCCTTGCCGTTTCAAACGAAGCAAAATATTTCCTGAGCTAGCCTGAAATGTAAAGCCGATAGCTGATGTTTCAAATTTTTCGGAAACAAATATAGTCGTAAAGGTGAAGTGAAATCACCCGTTTTCCTGCTGCTTTCCGTTGCATTAAGTTTTAGACTTTCACAGTTTAAGTGAGAGTTAATACTCCATTATAGCTAAACCTTCAAAACAGCACAAATAATATAAATAACCAAGCAGTGAACGTCGAATGTTTTTTTTCTCGATTATTAAATTCATGCAGTGATTGCAGTCGACTCTATAAACCTTTAAAGTGATATTTGTTATATTAAAACGATGATGTAAAGCCTTAAATAGTCGGTCACGTCTTCGCAAAACCGAGCAAAACGACACACTGTACCAAGCTCATAAAATGTATTCGTACAGCAAACACGAAAGAAACCTCGAAATAAACAAACTAGACTCCTACCATTTCAAGGATTATAAACCAGTTGTTCTTTTTCACCGCTAATTCTTCCAGTTCTGATAATATTTTAAACTCTTCCCAGTGTTTTATCTGTTATTTGATTCCACATTTCATATTGTGTTTTCGAAACATTTTTTTAAAAAAATAGTTTGCAAAAATAAGCAAAATGACAGTTAAATTGCTGACGTTTTTCACTGAAACACGAACGTTTCGTCTTAGCCAATCAGCAAGTTGCTAATTACCAGTCGTCACTCATTCAAATTTTGCGCGTGCGCACAAGTACCATGACCATTGAACGTCCATAACATTTGGGCCATAGAGAATTGCCATAGAGATTATAAATAAATAAAACTAGAGGAGTCATCGAGGAGAAATTGGGGAGCGCGTTAATGGGGGGCAAATTCAAGTCCCGGATGTTCACTCATTTACGATGTCCGAGGCCAAAATAAGTCGTTTTTAACGAGTTTTTTTTATTTCTAAAAGTTTTTTTGCCTAAAATATCGTTTCAGGATGTCTAAATTAGTAGAACCAGTTTCAAAAAGCACTGTTTTTCCTTAAAAAACCGGCAAAGCGACCTGAAAAACGAATATAATTTTTTTAAAATTGTTGCTAACGTGGTTGCTAAGGAGGCATTGATCTAGCCAATCAGCGCTTGGCTTAGCATCCGGGACTTGAATTTGCCCCCCATTATCGCGCTCCCTTTTTTGACTAATGTTTCTGATACCAATGCCTCCTCTAGTGTTATTTATAATCTCTATGATTTGGGCGACATTGGATTTCGCTATGTTCTCCCGGGTTCCGGGTATAATTCCTAATCTCCGGGCGGAATTAGTACCCTCGCACGGTGCTCCGCACCGGCTTATAAGATTAAACCGGGATTAAAAGATCCTTTGTTTACAAAATGATTTTGTTCCGAATATAACACTAAAACCATCCTAATATAAACAGAATGTATAAAATTAAGGTATAATATACTGAAAGAAGTACTTGAAAAGAAAAAGCGAAACAAAGTTGTATAAAAAACAATTGAAGAAATACAAATAAATTTGCATACCTTGAATCGTTCTCAAATTCTTGGGAAAAGGAGATACAAATTCCCGCCAAAACTAAAGTCACGTGACCGGCTGCGCTAGCTCTTGTTGAGCACAGGGCGCTATATAAGTGCCGTACTCACCCCCCGGTACATGCGAGCCCACGTATTGTTAGTATTGTTTATAGCAACAACAGTAAATACCTAAATACTGTATAAAATATGGAGACGAACGGTTTTAATAATACAGTAAATGTGTATTACGTTATTCCTGTCTCGTTAGTCATGAAACATTAGTACTTTGTACGTACGCGATCTGCAATTCATTATGTTTCCTTTACGTTTTCAGATGTTATATAAAAAACATGTACATATTGTCATAGTTTCCATGGATTAGTCGTTAATTAATGATTCGAGCAACAGGGGAAGGCGTAGGCGTAAGGCGTTTGCAAAACTTGGACCGTCTACACTTTACATAGTCTATGACGTTCTTGCCGCTTTACACCATAACCCGAAAGATTTGGAACGGGTATAAATTTTTTTCAGTTTTGGCACTCCGTTGACACGCAAACAACTAACTGTCGTGTGAATAATTGAAGAAAAGCAAAAGGGAATGCTAAATGACTGAAGAACAAACACATGACGTTCTTCATGACGTCAATTACGACCATAGATACACAGCAAAACATAGAAGGTCAAATTGGGACCAATCAAGTGCCTTTCGCTCTTCTCCATACCGGTTCAGATGCCAAAATAGGATTTTTCTGGGGAGTGAGCGATTTGAATGGGGAGGGGGAGACTTTGGTGACGCCAGTCACGCCACTACGGTTAGCGTCGACAGAAGAATGCTTAAAGTTCATCCACCGGCGCATGTAATATTATTGTAATTTATCTGCATCGTCATTCAGCGATAAAAGCAATCACACGATAAAATAATGCTTGTAGAAGAGTGTAGTTTATTCCATATTTTATGGCGTGCCTTGAGGACACACATTATTACACATAATTATATAATTATACTGATAAATAACTCTGTCATTCAAATGAACAATCACTCATTGCTCATCAATTTCTCATAAATTTACATAAATTTTATACTGTATTTATACTGTTTTTCATTTTACTGCATTTTCTTTTTTTTTTTGCTTTTTTATTTTGCTATTGGGTATAATCTGCCCCGACTGGACGCCGGCGAAGGTGTTGATACGTAATCAGCTGGATTGAAAAACGGTACGGCGGGAGACGATTGAGAATCCTGAAAGGAAAACCCCACTCGATAATCATTCCACACTTAGGAAAACATCCTGAGGATAATATCGAAACAGAAAGGATTCCTTTATGAGTGACACTTGACACTTGAACTAATGGTTTTAAGCCTTGAACATAAAGGGCAATTTTGTTTATTCCGCCTTTCATGCATCTTATTTACAATTTTAAGAGAGCTGGCAAACCTAGTCATACAAATTGCGTTCCAAAAGATGGGAAGATCCAGTTAAACGTGCAATAACGGTGGCCTTATTCTTTCATTTACCTGTGAGTAAGTCGACTGTTCCTCCACAGTATTGTTGGCTACACTGCTCTGGTCAACGCCGTTGCTTTGACTGTATATAAAACAAACAACAATATTAGTACCTATTTGGGATCCATATTATATATTCACCCTATAATACATCACTATTTAAGAATACTCTTCACAGATATTAACTAAACAGACACTGCAAAAAATAACAAAACTGAATCGTTGGATTTGATTCTCGCGCATTTTGAAATTTGTTGTCAACAGAAATATTAAACATCGCGTATCAAGACGTATCGCTAAATCAAAGTGGTATTTTCACATACCTAGCTGGCGGCATCAGTGATCCTTCAGTATTCGACAGAATGTCTAAAGATAGTCGAAACGTTTTGTAGTTAGTGATGTATAGTTGATAACACTAGGCTACTAGGTGTAAGTACGGGATTTCGTTCTTTAACACTTACTGCTTGTTATTGGTGCCTGATTCCCTGGTGGTGCTGGAAACGGTTGGAAAAGGAGATGTGACGCGGTTTCGTTAGGTTTCGTCGTTGCCCCTGAGGCACTCAAGACATCAACATAGTTCGATCTACGACCTGAAACAACAGTTCAAAGTTCAAATGTAGAATTCTAATCCAAACAATCTAGAGTCTCTCAAACCATAGACAATCTAAAAGACAGGATTGTCTATGCTCAAACCAAGCCATAATCCTATCGAAATCTCCGCTCTAATCATTATTAACATATTTTAGATGATACCTTTCGAGCTGTGAGCTCTACGCGAAAATCGGCTAGGTGTCGATAATAGTGAATTAATCAACGATATTTCTGGTTGATCTGGAGTAAAAGCGCCAGGAATGATTGGTGGAGCTTTTGCCGCAGGAGGAGTTTGCGACGCTGATGAAGCCTGGGATGCTGGAAGTTGCGGTGTGTTTGAGAAACCGGTATCTGCACTCGATGTGCCTAGACAAAGGGAAAGTCGGAGTTTTTTATAGCAACATAACAGTTTTACGATACAGCTTTACATACTCAGATTATAATTTCATTTTCCCTTTCCCAAATATAATGCAAATATAAATTTCATTAACACTATCTTATAATTCAAAATTAGGCTGACGAGGTCTGTAGAAATGAAGACGTTGAATTCTTGAAAGATGTGATTTGGGATCAGACTTGTATATGGGCCTGTATAAATATTTCATTTACAAGTCGACATAACGACAAGTTGCTTACCAGATGTTGGTGTAGGTTGTCCAACAGTTCCTGATGGGATGGTAGGCATGACAGGTTGGGCACCGCCAATCAAAGATGGATCAATTGGTGGTGGAGACAAGTCAGCTTTCTCCTGTTTAATGAAGGAACAAAGATTAATATCAGCTTTATAAGCGTGTGCATTGTGAAGAAAGAAAATATACACACCTTTGCAAGCACACTACAAAACAAACCATGTTTTACATTACCTCTTCACCTTCTTCCGTGTTCACCCACTTTCCTTCTTTTTCGTCCCAATAGATCTAAAGAGTAAACATATACGAAACTTTTTAAACAATAAATCATAATGTAATATATATTTTCGTAAACAAAAGCTGAAAGGCACATATTCGAAGCAAGGCACTATAACTTACAGTTTTCTTCTTATCGTCAGGTAAGATAATCTCGTTCTTGCCTTTGGGAATGAAAAATTTCAAGAAACCGCCAAATGACGTAAACAATCCCTAAATAAAATGAAGTCAAAATTTTGTTGGTTTAAGCATTGTTTAAAACAACCGCCCCCTAACACACAATATAAACTAACAATTAAACTTGCTGAAACATCTGTTTTCTACCATATACCTACGCACACAAACTATAAAACAAGACCTCGGAAAACACAGAACATGTTTCGCTAACGGTCAACAACTAGCTCAATACGATTACTGCATGTTTCTCAATTCCGGGTTGATTCGGAATCTGCAGTTTGAAACTGTAGAAAACTTACTCCACTCTGTTTCTCTGACTTCTTGTTATCGTCTTTTTTGGTCTTCTTCTCTTCCTTGGTCTGGGCTTGAGTTTCTTCCTTCTTTGCGCCATTCGCAATATTTGATTCCTAAAAACGATTTTACAGAAACTAAATATTAGTAACCTACTCTCGTTAAATAATTAATATCCTATGCCTACCTGGGTCTAAATTGTTCGAGTAAAGGCCCTATTCATCTAAAGTCGGTGCAAAAATCTCTCCATAATACTGAGTTTAATCTATTCCAAATAAGGTTACCAGGATTTCTGGGCGATCTAGGTACCGAAGGGTCAATTCCTAATAAACGTATATTACACTTACCCTGAAGTTAGATTGAGCGTAGTAATCAAAACTATTATCTGAAGTCGCAGGCGCTGAAATTCCACTTGTTTCGACTGCGTTAACACTAGCATTACTCGGCTGCTTCCGTAACAAATGCTCAAAAGAGTCCCCTTCGTAGAAGTTTGTGCCAGAACTTGGTAATCCTGTTTCATTGTGCTCTATGCTGCTCGGAACTGCTTGTGCGACATTTTCATAGGGGTAATTCTCCGGTGGAAGAGTTTGGTCGGTGGGAGCAACCCCGTAGGGGTAATTCCCTTGCGATGGTACTGGCTCTTGAGCTTGAAATTCCCCGGTGTAGGACATGTTGCCACTTGGTGCAGCGGTGGGCTCGAATTGAGCGAAACTCTGAGAAGCTTTGTTGTCCTCGCGATATAAAACTTGTTCCTGGACTATGTCACTATTTGTTTGAGGAACAAACATTGTAGGTACCATTGTAGTGGAATTTTGAACTTCTTTATTATCAATGTTTTGCGTGTGTTCATACGGCACTTCCTGTGGAAGTTGTGATTGCTGAGGTAGTTGTTGCGCCAATGTTTGCCAGCTGCTGGTAGACAAGAACGAGTGCCCTAAGGTTTCGTTGTTTTCCTAAAAAGACAATTTTTAACACGCCTTAGAAACGTTTCGCATGGAAAACTGCAAGCATGCTTCCAGGACAGCATCAGTTGGCGTGTCCTCACAGAAACGACGCTGTCTAATTGTTGATCGCAAAGTTTCACTTGCAGATTTTAGAATCGACATAAAAATCATGTAAAATAAAAATATACTTCGTACCTTGAGTAGATCTAACAATTGTTGCAGGCGTCCGTTCATATCTAATAACGGCGCAATAAATTCTCGTCTGTAAAGTCTCATGGATAACTGGAAGGAAAGAAAATTTGAGCATCAAACGATTTCACCATGTGTATATCAGGTTGTATCTGAAAACAATAAGCTATTTAAAAATTTCATTATTCGCTTTTGATTTCTTGATTTGAGCGAAGGCTAGAACAGGCCTGAAACGTCTATTTTAAACGAAAGGTAAGGCGAGAAATGATGACATACCGCATGAAGTCGCGTTATCATATCTTTAGTAAAGGATGTTGAATGCTTCAAGACATCATCTACCAATTTCTCGCAATAACGAAATGCCTAAATAAGACAATGAACGCGTGTTAAATCAAAGATTGTGAAGGTTGTGGAGTAACACCATAAGTCAAACGAAGATATAACAATTACTAACTTTATTATGGAATCCGGCATCGGCCAATGAATGGACGTACAATTCTTTCCATGGCTGAAAAAAAACATAACGTTAAAGAATGTGCAGCCAAGGTTCAACTCCATGACCAACCAGGTATAGAATTATCTTCTGATCTCAAAAAATCTTATTCTATAGAATAGATATCCCCGCAATTTGCGGAAACGTAAGCAAGTATTGAAATACGAAGTAAAGTGAGACGCTGAATTGAACAACTAGTACTTATGCGGCACTTCTGTGCTTTTCAAAGTTCAACACACATTAGAGAAATCTACAATGAAGTAATTTCTAACCTGGAAATCTTTTATTATAAAATTTTCATCTTTGAGGCTCATAGCGTATTCATATATCTACAGGAACATGTTGTTGGTTAACAAGAATACAAACAGAATAGCTTTTGACTATTTTAAACAATTTTATAACACATGCATGTATCAGGCAAAAACGGATGAATGTTTAGGTCGACTGGCAAGCAGAGTGGAAATAAAGCAATTAAAAGGCAATGGCGGAAAAAGGGTTTGTAGCAAAGTGAAAAAAACATAAGAGAGAATTCTAGAGCATGCTGCATGGCAAATGTATAGCGGCTTCAATAAAGGATTTGTAAGCATCTCAGCGATCTACCTCTGTGCGTTGAAGAGCCAGGAAATCCACGAATTCTGGTCGGATTTCACTACAGAAAACAAGAGTTTAAGTTTGTGAGAAGATGAACCACGAACCTTTATGTTCATTAAACAGACAGACAATGCGACTCTTCAACATACTTCGAAGAATAACCTAGTAACAGTGTGCCACTCTGTTTACTAATTTCTTCTCCAGCTAATATGTAGCAAAGATGAGCTGCTTCAATCAGGCCACGAGACTCTGGAAAAGAGAAAGTAACATTTTGCATGATAGCAACAAACACAAGCAGTAGGTCAATCGAAACAAGAATCTCTTGAAGGAAACGTTGCCAGTGTCCTCGTGACTTGTTTAAGCAGTTAGCTATCACCGGATGTGAAAATGCATCAACTTGATCACGCATACTACAACGTAGCTTGAATTGTGATATTGGTCAACACCTACCCACCCCCGGCCAAATCACCATCCCTGGCTTATCCAAACTGAACTTACCTAAGCTCGCGCCAAGTGCATGAATATTTTCGCTATCTTTAGCGGTTGACTTGGATGGATTTGAAATCATGATTGCCAAATGTTTTCTCCATCGCCTTGTCTTTTTCTAAATTTTGACAAAAAAAAAGATAGGGTACTTTATAAATTCTACGTGAACTGTACCGCGTTTGTGAACCACATTGGTCCAGATAATTCTTCAAACTCACATCTAAAATTGAAGGTCGCTTAGACCCGAGATGCTGATACAAACATAACAAGGAGTCGTCCTCATTAAGTTGACTGTTGAATCTACAATAAACAATGCGAAAAAGCATTGGAAAATATACTGACACATGTACAATATGGAAAAATAGACATTTGCAAGCAGTTAGGAGAGATCAAGCAAGAACACAATTGAGAGAAACGTGTAAACAACAAGCAGAATAATTCAAATATAGCAAGCAAAGAATAAATGTCGTTACCTTTCCATGATATTCGAAAATACATTCTGGTCAGTGTGGTATGCTAGCGTCAAGGCGTGGCCCCAGATCTTGGAGTTTACTGCGTGTTCCAGAGCTTCCTATGGAGTGAAATGAATAAATGATAAAACAGTTGTATTGTTCTCCACTTCACCGCGGGTATAAATATATAGCCAGAATTCATGAATAACTCTAAGCTCGTATAACGGCCAAACTATTTGCACGTGCAGTGTTGTTCTAAAAAAACCGTAAAGAAACTGTAGATAGAATGAATTGCTTTCTAGATCTTCTGCATGGAATAGTTCCTACGTCTAACAGGTCAACAATATTCAAAGGTATTTTTCTACACATGCTTCTTTCAATACAAGCGCACGTATTGGTAAAGATTAATCCTTCTGTACTTTTTACCACTTCGTGCGAACGAATTCGCCAGGAGGAGAGCGGGCTTTCGTCAGGCAAGAGAAAAGCGATGGCAAGATTAATAAACAGCGTACCTGTGTTTTGCCAGTCAAGAGAAGCTCTCGATATGTCGCGACTTGATCGTGTTTGGAATAATCTTGCCCATCAGCTGCAAAGGATACCCTTTGAGAGCTGGAAGAACTACGTTCCCGTCTTGTATAAGAATCTTCGGGTAGATCCGAGGTTAGAACCTCGGCAATATCGGTGTTGAGGTACACCTGGAATAAAGATCGCAGTTCAACCAATGAAGAAAAGGCCAACAGAAAGAGTTAAAAACTCTGCATATTCAAACGTAGATTACTTAGAAATTATTTTGATCCAGTGCTTTCAGACTGTTTAAAAGCGAGCTAATCACACAATCTTTATAATTTTTATGCATGCAGAAAGACTGAATGTAGTTCTTACCCCATTTTGTTGGACCATAACAGCCAACACTTGCCAAAGAATGTAGACAGCCTCGCGTTTTTCAAAAGAATCGCTTTGGTTGTTGAAAGCCATCATGGCCATCTCTTTGGCATACTTTACAACATCCCGTTTATGGGTTTTGCCCCTGTGAAAAATACATATATGTTATTGACTGAGCGAGAGGTCCGTACAGGACGGCGAAAAAAGAATGAGATCAGTATCCTCCTGTACGGACCGAACAAGCTCAGTCAATAAACTATTTATTATATGACTAAAAACGATTAAAATTCCCAACTAAAAAATTCCCGCCGAACCTGGCCGGTCCGTACTGTTGGTTACCGACCGCTCAGGAACCAATCAGAATGCTTGATTTTAGTTGATGGCCGATGAACTATTCTAGACATATAATAAAGTAGAATAAAACATTGAAAATAAATAAAATTTGTATGCTTTTCAAATGCTGAGTGATAATACAGTCTTAGTGCCGAAAAATTCACTATCAATCATATCCTGACTCCAGAAATGAAATCGTCTTAAACCAGCCATTATTTTGGCATTTTACCTGCAAAGTGGTCCAGGGAAATTGCGCATCGCCTCGTTGAATCTATCTTCGCTCTGAATAAAACAAGATCATATGCGTCAATTTATACAGTAGAATATTTTAGGTATGTCGCAACCTGTCAATTGACAAGGGATAACCAACCTGATTGATTAGAGCTAACGCTTGCTGTTTCTGATCTATCTGATCTCCCTGGAAGTCGAATAATACGCTACTATTGGTCTTGAGTGTAATACTGTTACTAGAAATCTATACAAATAAGGCTTAGACAAAGCTAGCATCAGTTCTATAGACAATATTTCTGTCTCCGCTGTTATTATACAAACGACTACGACTATATCTGACATTCAGACCTATACCAATACATCTAACTGGAATTTGTCTTCCGCAAGAGGCCTAGAACAGTATTAAAGTGTCGTCCCAGTTGTAGTTATACGTACAGAAATAGTTAATATGACGTAGCTATATGATTACCTTGACATCAGTCAAGTACACTTTAGCAGTCTCACCATCAAGGACCTGTCTGACTGGAGCAACACTCAATCGAGAGGCGGTTGAAAACGCTCCAACAATATGAGGTTTTGTACGCTGCTTCGGGGTTAGTCGTTCAGGAGTAATTACTACAACTGTGGAAAATATATTTACGATTTTAGCTAAGGATAAACAACCAGGTTTCTTAGGATTCCAGCCTGCTGGAAAAACCTCGTGACAGTTATCGAACGAGCGATTCCAGTGCAGTACTATAAAGGTAACTACCAGTTTCTGATGATTTTGAAACTTTGGTCTTCGGATTTTTGATATCTCGCCAGGCTTCATCCACCGCTGTTTACTACTCTACTTAAATCTTACCCCGTTCAACCGTATCTTCAGCGGTGATTGCACTACTCTGTTGTTGCTTGTTCTGGTCATCCCACTTGATACTGTCTCCCAAAGAGTTTGATGTGGATGAGCTGTAACTTCCTGAGCTCAATCGTCTTGAGTTACGGGATGATCGTCCTGAACGAGAACCACGCCGCTGACTATCACCACTGGACCCACTAAAGTCAGACTCCCAACGATGGTAATCCCGATCATAAGAATCACGATAATATTTATAATATGCTCGGTCATTGTAGTCTGTTCGTCTTCTACCCTGGCTCTCTCTTCTTCGCTCACGATTGCGACTTCTTCTCGAGTCAGATCTGTGATATCGTTGATCATCATACTGGCTTTCTCGCCTGCTGCTTGAAACAAATAGTTTGTATGAGAAATACTGTTGTCTGAATTCAAACCACTTCCGCATAAAACAGCACTTACTTCTCTGCACGGATCCACCGTTCTCTTTTGAAAGACCAAAACCACTTTCTGCTCTCATCATAATATCGATTGCTTTCCTCCTCTGAATCAAAATCTTCATACTGTGTATCAGTGTTGCCATGCTGCTGCCATTGATCAGTATCGTTGGTTGAATACTGTAGATTAACATTGCTGCTAACTTGCTGTGGGTATTGCCCGCTAATTTGCCTACAAATGATGGATTTGTTTAGTTGAACACGAGAGGATAATGTGCGAAAAATTACTTCAATTTTGTGTTTTAACAAATTTAGCCAGTAATTTCATGATCTCGTGAATGTGCTTGCCACTTCGCCATAGTAGTCATGTAGTCTAAGTGCTAGAAACATTGGCTTCTACGTATACAATATTGTAATACTTTACTACTGCTTTCGGTGCCTAAGGTGGTTTTAAGAACTTTATACAGTCTATTGTAGAGTACTTTAAAATATCTCATTTACCTTTCCACTTTTTGATGTTGAATATTCTGCTGGTACTCCTGTGCCTGCTGTTGCAACTGTTGTTGCTGCTGCAAGTGTTGTTGCTGTTGCCACTGTTGTTGCTGTTGCAACTGTTGTTGCTGTTGCAACTGTTGTTGCTGTTGCAACTGTTGTTGCTGTTGCAAATGATGTTGTTGAGTAAACTGATTCGGTTCAGACCTTTGTCGCTGTACATTCATGTGTCCTCCTCGCAGCTGCTGATTTTGCGAGCTGAACTCATTTTGAAACAGCATTTGTTCGTACTGTTGTTGCTTGTACTGCAATTGTTGCTGTTGGTATAACAACTGATGCTGTTCCTGTTCACTCGAGGAAACCATACCTTCAATCTGGCCAGAACCATAACCATCACTGGTAGCAACAGGATGGTCAACATGACCATCAGCGCCACCATACTCAGGGACCAATCCCCCACCACTACCTTCCCGCATCCGAGCATGCTCACTCTGAGGCAACCCGGTACGCACTGCAGAGCGGCTGGCGTCAGGATGTGTGAAGGAGTTCTGGGGGAGACCGGTCATGGTCCCAGAAGCAGGGGCAGTCTGTTGCAAGTGCTGGTCAGGAATCTGGTTTGAGGAAGGAATGTTGTTTACTACAGGCGCTTGGATGACATTTGGCCTAAAAAAATTAAAAGTATCAACAGTCTAGTCCGTTAATTGAAACCAAAATAAATAATTCGCCCCCAGAAACACCATGAAAACTTTTTACTGAATAGGTTTTGATCCGTTGACGCCGTTTATTAATAGGTCACACTGTTACGTTATGTACCAGTTAATATCGGTATTATATTTAATATTTGAGATAGTTTAAAATGCAAATTTGTACAATGTAATGCGTTAATTCTACAACTAGACTCTTAATTTTAAGCTCTTAATTAACGCTTAATTTTAATATGCTTTCTCCTAAGCCAAGAGTCGTCCACGTTGACTCCAACGTCTCAAATGACGGTTAATAAACGCAGGTTACGAAGAATGAATAATTAATACCGAAGAAACAAATAATTATTGTAAGACAACAAATAGCTGAGCAATTTAAAAATTATGAAATCCGTGCACAATGTCTTGTAAGAACCTGCGTCTACCCTGCTGACACTTCTGTCGCTCTCTATACATCCTAGAATTTCATTAATCTTCCTATATTCTTTACTTTAACTAAAAAATTACTGAACGATTACTGATATCTCAGATTATTGTTATTTTTAGGTTATGGTTAGTAGTGTGAGATTTTGGACCATCGTTAGACAATAGTTGCTTAGTTTGTGTGCGGATTTGAAAACGGGTTTCGATCGAGGTGTGAAAAATCGCTATTCTTGGTAGAGAGCCATACTCACCGTTGGATATTTCCTCGGTTAAGACTAGTTGGCTTGTCGATCACATCATGAACAGGGTTTGCACTGGCGAGTTCTTGATTTGAACTTGAAACACCAAGTGAACTTTGGCGACTAAGACTGGATGTCGAGTCACAATCACTTCTCTGCAAAGCAGCCGCTAACAGGGTTTGCTGAGCGGCGCTGGAGGCCACAGGTGGATTTGGCAACTTTGATGGAGTACTACTGAATCGATTACGATTCCGTGTGAAGCCAGGAATACCCAGATCTGA